CCCCATCTTGCACAGCCCCTGGAATTCATTGAATGAGAAAGTCTCATTATTGGCACCCTCTTCCATCACTTGGACTCCCATCCCCATCTTGCACAGCCCCTGGAATTCATTGAATGAGAAAATCTCATTATTGGCACCCTCTTCCATCACTTGGACTCCCAGCCCCATCTTGCACGGCCCCTGGAATTCATTGAATGAGAAAATCTCATTATTGGCACCCTCTCCCATCAAGTCATTGGAGAGGCACTTTCCTGAACATCTCTCTTTTCTCTTTTCTCTTTTTTCTCTCTTTCTCCAAAGCTTATCAGCCTGGATTCTGGCTCCCATGCTTCCCAGCAAGGGAAGGGTTGGAGGGTGGTAAACCCAACTGAGGAGTTTTGCAAAGCCTCTCCTGTCCCCGCCTCCGCTTCCCAACCAATCAGTGTGACCACCTGGTGACCACAATCACCATCATCCCCTGCTAGCAGGGGTAGAGATTCTTTCAGGACTAGCTCAGGATAAGAGAGAAGAGGAAAGCCAGCGTCTTAAAATTGAGGAAGTGAAGCAGCAACTCCTTTACCTCTTGCTCTTTGGATCTCCCACCCCTAGGCTGTTCCCTGGATAGGTGGCAGCTGCAGTTCCCATCATCCCCAGCCAGCAGAGCTGAGGGAGGTGTAATCCTAAAACAACAGAGGGTGCTTTATTGGACAGCCAGATTTGGGTATGTGTGTGTGTATCCCGGGGAGACTTTTAACTTGCAACTCTTCCAGTTCTTTTAGGTTACAATTCCCATGCAAGTTAGCCGGGTCAGAGAGGAACCTGCTTGTTTAGACATGACCAAGCACTCTGTCTTGAAGCTGATCCTGTGAGGAACAAATGTGTAGGTGTGCAGCTTACTTCTGGGCTGACAAAACTGACTTTCTATTAGAACCTAGCCTGTGTTTTGGGCTGCTTCAAGGAGCACCGGAAGAAACTCTGAAAACTCAGAGGGTGCTCAGTCCATGCTTCCTAGTCTGTCTTGCAAACTGTAATTAGGACTTCTGAAGCTATCCGCAAGCAGGGCAGGGAATTTTGAATAGAAATGCCTGAGAAACTCGAGAAAAATGAACACAGTTGCATACTGTGCCTCTTCCTGCCTTGTGACAAAAATCCCATAGAGTGACCAGATTCGGGCTTCTGAGCCTAACTACCCACTTGAGCTCCTTGTCTAAGAAACAGAGATTAGCATACAGTTTATAATGGTTAAGAGCCTTCATTGTGATCTTTTAAAAGCCATGGTTGACCGGATCTATACCGATAAATGCCATATTCTTCCTTCTATTGTTCCTCTTCCGTATTTCTCTGCTTCAGTAGGTGGGCCTGCTGTTATAGCCCTAATACTGTGT